AAACTAATTCAGTTGCGATTTCAACGAAGAGGGAAAGGATGATTCGCGTGTTTAGTCACGTGAGAAGCACACGCGTAACAACGCCCGGAACAAGGCAAAACCTCTGTACAAGCTGGCCACGGTTGGAATCGTGTAATCGATAGATAACTCGTAGTCTGGCTCTAGTTTCGTTGGCGTAGACGGTTGAAGGGAGAATAATTGCTATTCGTCACGAACCCCCGGGCCCCGTGCCTCCGGGAGAAACGGGAGCTTGGATTAATCTTATGCAAAACATCGGAAAGAAAGTCCGCGCGCGTCCCCCTCCTCTCGTAACCTTCTTCTTTTTTCTTTCATCCCCTGGATTTGTCCAAGTTTACCTCGTCGTTCGGGGATAATTGAAGTGATAGAATTCTCTGGCTACCTTAATATCGCGGAATATCGACTTTAGAACCAGCGAATGGCGAATTTTCGAACCGAGATGAAAGTCCCCCGTCTCGAAAGAACGGTTCTACCTCAATGAAAGATTCATCAGCCAAACCGATACGAAAGGGCCTCTGACGGAATTCGAAACACGTCGACCGATGAACGTCGTTTTATTTATTTCTAGATCTCGATTTCAATACAGGCATATGGTATTTTTTCCACGCTTAAGTATGTGTCGCCTTTTATCGCGGGATACTTTAGCTCCGAACAAATCTATTCTCTATCTAGCCCCCCCTCCCTCCGTGAAATTACACCTATAGACATGCATAAAACTGTGTAATTCAAACCTGTTATTTGATATTCTACAATGAATAATTAGAACCAGAGTTGGGCACAATTTTATTCGAATAATACACAGTGACAAACTGCAGTACCCAACGGCATCATTCTGAGCTTTAAACAGTTAATAAGATTAAATAATTAAAAATGGAAGTTTCCACGTTTAATTAGTTAAAAATAGCGAAGTACTTTTTCGTCGTTTATTCGTTATTCGAAACTTTTCATCTATATAATGAATTTTCCCATATCTGCTTAGAACAATTAGTTTCACTTAGAATTTCAGTTCAAGTTATATATTAACGAACACAGTTACTTAAAATGACTAATATCGTAGATTTTGAAGCTTCAGAGGGTTGTGGTTTCATAGCAGAGAATATTTTTTGAAAATATGGAACTCGAAAGATTGACTCCTGGCCACGAAAGGCGAAGACCACTGTGGAGATCGTCCGCCGAGGAAAGTCTTTGAATGATTACTTCGTCTCGACGAGGCATGTCCGTGGTAAATGTTTTTCTCCTTTCGAAAGACGGAATGTTTTACGACTGGTATAGAGCTCGGGGCTTGCGAAGGGAGAGTAAAAAAAGGAGAGGAGGTGTCATTCTTCCAAGCTAAAGGAGCAACGTTCCAGTTGAGAGGATCGATCTCGTTCGAACGATATCGGGATTCTCGGCCTGATGGACGTTTCTTCTCGCCCGTACGAACGAAACAGTGTGTATTATGTCGATTATTCTGATGCTAGGTCGAGTAATGTTAATTAAGCTGCGTGTACACTATATAGCAAAGTTATAAAACTTGTTAGAAGAACAGAAAGAAAAATGTTATAACATTGTTTGTGTTATATAGCAAGTTACATGTTATCCATTAAGTGTGACGCCATTATTAATAATGAGTAGACTGCGGATTTAATGCATTTATAGCCTATATAGGTCTGTAAATACAGTAAAAAATAAACTAAACTGACTTAAAAAATAACTAACTCCACAGCCGGGGTTTGTTGACTTAAGGGGTCATGCTCAGTTAGGAGGCCGAAAAAAGAGTGCTTTTTGGGAATTTTTTTCTCAAAAACTATAAGACCTTTTTCAAAAAATATGTTTGTGTTTCAAAGATTGCAGTTTCTAGATTATTAGGTAATTTTTTTATTTAAAAATATTTATTAGTAAAATGGTGAGCGATCTCCCGGATGTCTCTCCACAAAAAGTGGACTGTCGTGAATACTGTAACTTCGTAACGGTTCATCTAAAATTAAAAATTCAGTAAGATTTATGTAATGGAAGAACCAATCTTGTCCTTGAACGTGGGATTTTTCGAAATATTGATTAGGAACAAAATGGCGGACATTTTCCTGAAAAAGTGCGATTTTCACCTAACAATCGCCCGTTTTTGGTCAATTAAAAGAAAAGTATGGAACGAAAAAATAAATCCTTCGTTCAAGGACAAGTTTTTCTGATGTGAAATAAGGCGTAAAAGGTTTCATATAAATCGACACAAGGCTCAATTAAAGTGATTTTCAAAGTTAAGCCTGTATACTTAAGTAAATGTGTAAACTTTTGGTATGCATCAAATCAATGGTTCATTTGTAAAAATCAAACATGTTAAAAATTAGTCAATTATCCCTGATCTCCCTTATTATTCCAATAAAGTAGGGCCAAATACTGTTCGCGATTACTCCTATTTTTTTCCATCCCGAAATATCTTTCGACCTCACGTACTTAAATCAGCGATCTCCGTTTCGAACGAGAAAGGAGAAGTATCGCGGGGGAACGAGCACGAGGCAGAGCGTAATAACGTTTACCCGTGTCTCTCTCCGCTGAGTACATTGCTCGTCACGATTCCAATTACCATTGCGACTCGGTTATCGGGAAGATACGCCGATAGAATTTTCCTCGAGAATCGCGTTTCGAAATCCTCCCGATGGTCCACGAGATGGGTGGAGAAATTCATGAATTCCGGGCAATAAAAATTTTACAGCGAATTGCTGGGCGTCTCTTCTCGGTCCACGAAGTTCCACGAAGTACCACGAAATACCACGAAGTCAATCGAAGTCTGTCGGGAACGTAGAAGTGTAAATTGAAGCACGAGAACAAAAAACTACGAAAGCAAGAACGCGATCTAAGTGTTACATGTATTTTCAGAATGTTCTACATATACATAAGATCAATGTCCCTATTTCTAATCACGTCCCGATTTTTGCTCAGTAGGGCAAAGGTGTCTAAAACGATCCCTTTAAGGTGTAATTTATATAAAAAGTACAAATGCTCATTATTTAAATAAAAGTAAATTAGTTTTTGTAAGTTAGTCTATCTATCTCATCGTTGGCTTAAATAAAATTTAGCTACCTGATGGCATACTAAAGGATCATTTTGTAATGTATGTGTGTAAAATGATCCCCGGTGAATGAATATAACATATTGTGTCCGTGGTTGAATATAACATATTAGTGAATTGTGGTTAAATCCGCACAAGAAGCAGCTGTCAGATTAAACCGTTTATGACAAAAGTGACACAACATTGAAAAAGACCTTATCTTAGATAAATTGCAGTAATTTAAAATTTTTCTTGTGGACAACACACAGAGCATGGATATTCACATGGCACTTCGAGCAATGACTAGTAACGTGCAGGGAGAACTATTGTAGAACGACATTACGATATAGCACCACTAATAGCCACAGGGCAGCCAGTAATCATTTTACCCCGAGGGATCGTTTTAGACACCTTTCCCCTATATGTGACAAATAGTAGAGCGGATAGAGTGTAAAAATTTATTTTTTAAATTATGACAAAAGCATGTTGCTTGGGGTACTCCTGTACTCCGTTCGGTATTACAAAGTTTATTTTATCAACAAGCAGCGGCAAATCACTAGCTTATTGCGAGTAGGCTGCCGCAACAACCAATGAATCGGGGAACAAGTAACGACGTAGGTTAATCCTCGCCACCCTCTCTAAAAAGAAAAGAAAAAAAAACAATGTCCATCGGAGTGGAAAGCAATTAGAGGTAGGTCCTCGAATAAATCGGAGCTTTTAAAAGGTCCGGCGCGGTCGCGGTCGCCAACTCCTCGTTGCGAGCTGGTAACAAAAACAAGAAACAAAAAAAAGGTAAACCGCGGAGACAGACCCCCCCGAGCAGAATCGGACAGGCCATGGGCATTCGTATCGGAAGCCAACAATCAGAGAGAGAACCGTGCGCGCGCCATTCCGCGTTTAATCCTCTTTACTTCCGGCCTGCCGGTGCTATCGGCGCGTACGTTATCGCTCTAATTGGCTGTCAGTTCAGCCGGAAAGGAGAGTTTCAAAGCCTCGAAGCCCACGTGCTATTCCATGAAAGTAATCCCCCCCTCCAACCGACTGAATACCCCAAGTTGATCCATTTTTATGAGCTTCCAAAGGAATAAACGACCGTCCGGTTGATGGTTTACCGCCTGGGCTTCCGAATCGCGTGATAGTCGACCGCCCCGTCGTCGCGATGTAGTCGTGGTATACAGTCGCGGCAGGACTTAACAGAGATTAGTGTATGTACGCAGTGGCAACAGGCTCGGTTATAATCGAGGACGGAATCGGCTGGTTCGTCCAGATCTTGGTCCTAGTGATGTGTGATAAATCTGTTCTAAAATGTTTGAACTCCTATCGAGGTGCTCGAACAGTTCAAACTGTATTCGATCGTTCGAACACTGTTCGAACAATCTTGCGTTCAAAAATGTCCAAACAGGTTCGAACTCTTCCTTCACAAATCCATAACTACTCATCCCCTTCCCTGGGCACGGTTCAACCGACCTTCATCTTTTTCTCGCCCGCATCGAGAAAAGAGCTCGACGTTCCAAACGTTTCCCAACACGGTTTCTAAAACCGTTTCCGCAGTGTAGACACAGTAGACACCGAACCAAACAAATTAAAGTCTCTTCCTCACGGACGAATAGAAAACGATACGACTCGCGTTATTTTGCATTGCAGATGGTAGCGGTGCAACGAGCACTGGCGTTCAGTTGGTAGTGGGCAGAGAATCGTCGTCGTCGTGCCGTTCCGCGGAGACCACCCGAGGAGAACCAGCAGGGAGTGAGAGAACGAGGAAAAGCGGTTTATTGGAAAGGAAAGAAGTTGGTGGCCAGCCTGGAGAGAAGAAGAGGAACGAGGAACGACGGTGATAAAGCGGAAGAGAAAGGAAGAACGAAGAATAGGCAGCGTGAAGGGAAGGAGAGGAGAAGGAAGAAGCGAAAAGGAAGAAAAGTGATCGGAGAGGGAGGAGGAGGGGGTAGAGGTGGTGGTGGTGGTGGTGGTGGTGGTGGAAGGAAGGAAGAAAAGACGAAGAACGAGAGGCCTGGTCTCATAGGAGGGCATCGATCTCGAGATCTCTTCCGGTAATTCAGGATCGAACCCCGGGGCTGCGAAGGTCGCTGATGTCCGCTACGTGCCCTGACCCTACCCCTGCCAGTTCGCCGTCACCCGAGCGCAGCAGAGCAATCGGAACACCCCCGACGCCGCAGCACGTCACTCTACGCCTCGATCCGATCAGAGGGAGCGAGTATCTGGCGGCGGTGAAGCCCGTACGATACTCGTTGCACACCACGCGCTTGTACGCCCGGAAGAACCTAGTCGGCACCACTGCTGCTGTATCGTCGATCAGCTCGACCACCCCTCTGAATGTCTTCGCACATCCAAAAGTCGTGCGTGGTGAGGACACAGGTTTCAAACTTTCCGTCTTTTTTTTTTTTTTTTTATTATTCTTGCACCACATAGACATATACAGTAATGTCCCGATAAGTGTCAATGCCTCGGTTCCGTGGAGTCACACTCACGGTGAGCGTGGACAGTTGTCAGCACCTCGTCAATCTGTTTTTTGCTCGAAGCTCGAACCTCCGTGTCACCACAGATTCACCGTTCTCATAACGTAGAGGTCGCTAAAATCACAGGTTTTTTTTAAGGTGTCGGTACTACAGTTTAGGTGGGCCACCAACTACCGTAAGATGAAAAGTCTATTCTTATACCTCGTCAGTGACAGGGTGTAACAAAAATGTTGGAAGACCAGGAAATGGGAGACTCGTGTGGTGATTTGAAACAAATTTTTCCTTAGCGAAAATGTTATCCGAGGCTTTGTTAACGAGATATTAACGACAAACCCCGACCAATCAGAGTGCGAGCTGTACTGTCAACACATTATCTTCTTTTATTTTACCTTGAAAACCCCTGGAGTAGACTACCGACAGGCGCCAAAACTGCACGGAGTGCAAAGGGTTAACCCTCTGTGACCACTTTTTATTTTTAACGCTTCTGTCACCCCTTTGGGTCTTTTATGCTCAGATTAATTTTTTTTTATCTTGTAGGCTTCCAAAAAATTTGAAGAAATTCGGGAATATTTCCCAGGGTCTCTGCTATTTACGTGATCCAATAGTTCTTGAAGTTGAATGTTTCAAGGTTTTTTTTAATAACAATGCCTTGTATCATATGAATGACCCAGAAAGGTCACGAAGGGTTAATATAATAAGTTATTCCTTTGGTAATGCGAATGTTCGTTGATGTTTATGAAAGGGAAACTGGAAGTTAGTTTTTTCCTAAAATTTACCATACTTTTAGAACTAACATTTTCTAAGCTGGCTCTATCATTCTGTGACGCATCTAATAGTTTCGATAGAAAGACACAGGCATTTAAAAAAAAAAAAGAAAACGTGGAAAAATGCGTTTAGAAGAAATGCTGAGTCCATTTTCGAATGGTTAATCACCGACCTTCTTCCGTAGAAACGTTGTCGATTCTCTGTCCGTCACGAAACGTCCAGACCCTGGATGTTAACGTTTCTCCAATGACCCGTTTCGACGTGCGGGATATTAGACTCTCCGCCATCTGTCGTTTCTTCGAATTTAAAAGACCGTTGGCACAAGACACGTGTCCACGGTCCTCGATCTTTCTCGCTCCAATGCCCGGTTTGTCAACGGGAACGTGATCGATCGCAATGGAACCGACTAAGAGACAAAATATCGAAAGGAACGACGATAAGACCGTAAACATTGAAATTGTAGGACGCTACAGTAAATCCTTAATGAGTGTTCGAAGGCTCTTTGGCAAATAACATTAACACTTTACTGACGACAAAGTTTTTCTGTTTGCAAATATACAACTTCAGGTGTTCTAACCTGGGGACCTCACCTTGCCAGTGCCTAGGAGTCATCCAACACTCATCGAGGATTTACTGTCACGTCCGTTCATATCCATTTTAATATCGTGTTGGGGAAATTGACAGAATATTTCCGTGACAACGCTGACGCGTGCGCAACTGTGGCGCAGGATCGCACTATTGAAATATTTGGAATTTAAGAGTTAATATCGGAAATCCTTCACGCAGGACGTATCGAATTTCGGCGTCGGCCCGCGTCGAAGAGCTTCCGATACCGGATCGTGGCGTTCCTTTTTTTTTTTCTTTCGTTGTTCCTCGAGGGAAGCCGGAAAATTGGAAAGCCGTATCCAGAGAGGAAAAGCAGAGTGGGAATGGTGCTTTTGAAATGTCGTCCATCGATACGACTGAGACGTCGTTCGAGGAACGAAAATGATTTCCTCGCTCGCGCGGTCGTTAGGCGCCGAAAATGCGACGCCAGGGATTCGCGTTGGGATTCAGTTTCCGTAGAGAGGACCGAGAAGTTTCGTTTGTTCGTCCATAGAACAACAGAAAAAGTATCGAGCTACTGGTGGCTGAAAACATTAATTCACTGACGACCATACTAATACGTTCTTCATTACTGGCCATTGTCGCCGTAAACGTATTAATTTTTGCATTATTTGACTTCGTCAGGTAAAAATTTATCGTTACTACTAGACTGCGGATTTTTATGCAAAATGATATTTTCCAAAGGAATTCATACAGAGAAGACTAAAAAGTGAAATTTCCACGTTTAAACAATTAAAAATGACGATATATTTTTTTGATCTTTTATTCGCTATTCCAAACTTTTTATCTAGATAATTAATTTGCCCATTTTTTATTGTAACGAAAGGAATGCATATGTATTTTTGAAAAGATTGATCTTAGGACCTATGTTGATTAGATATTTTGTTATTCCTCTCGATGAGTACCATAGGGTTCCAAAATCTTGAACCAAACACTATGTGTTTCATTCTTTGACTCGACCAAAAAAAAAGATGAGTGAACCAGCGTTCGATGAATTTCATCAACGGAGTTGGATCTGATCTAGATAAAGCGATAGCGTACATCGACGAAATACGAAAAAAAAAAGAAAGAAAGAAAGAGAGAAAACGTTGGTAAGGGATGAACTAGGGTGGAAAATTCCAAGGGTTTAGCTCGCGAGCGGACCACGGAAGTTGCAAATGGGGAAAGTTTCCGCGAAAGTAAGATCTGGGAGGAGTTCCGTGTAAGTAACCGATGGTCGAGTTTTTCCAAGGGGTGCCTTCGAAATTAACTCTTTCGCAATCGGAAAGTTTCTCTCTCTTTCGTTGGGGCACGAACAAAATTTTCGCAGCGACTTTCCTGAACGGTGAAAATTCCGTCGGTTTGTTTGCCAGTCCTTTTACCGTCGCAGCTTTTTCCTGCCCTTTTTTCCGAAAGGGTAATTGATTTTATAAAGAATTAAAAGCGTTCGCTGACTCAAGGTCGCTTAAATACTAACTGTGTCTCACCCGTTGAGGATTTAACGGACCAGAACAGGGTGAAGGCCTGAAAAACAGAGGTACACCGTCGTGGCGTAACTATCAAATCACCCTAAATTATTCAATCCTTATGTATTGTGTGGGTAAAATAAAAACTATCGACTTTTTTTCTAAGGAGTATAATCTATCCTTTTGCGGAGAAATATTATTTTTCAACACGATTTCAGACATGGCATACTTGGTTCCTGTTTAATTTAAACACACTACATAAGAATTTAAATGTTAGGGTGGTTTTACAGTTAGGCGACGCAGTGTGTTTTTTGAAATTTTGTAAGCACATGATAATTCTTTCGATGATTATGTCGAGGGTACTCGAAGAGTTGGCAACTTTTTGTTTAGTGACGAATATACTTATTATTAAGCAAACAAATTGCATTTGCTTTTAAAGTAAAATTTACGTAAAACAAGAACATATTAGTAATTTTAACACACTTTAGAATATTTTCAAACAAAAGAGCAAATGTACAAAGAAAAACAATTGGTTGAAAAAAAAAAAGAAATACGCAGCAGTATATTGAAGAGGGATGTTTGGTAAGGCAGTGAGTTTTTTCTGACAATAGATGGCGCTGGACTCGCACGAATAATTTTGTCCTTTCATTAAAATTTATTTCAATTTTACTGCAAATGCATTTACACTGCTTTTGTCAACTATATTCGTCATAGCTTGAAAATAATTAAGCACACAAATGCATGTTTTAAACAGCACTTAAAAGGTTAAATGATTTTCTGTTTACTATATACATATAAGCCATAGCTAGTGAAGAATATATGAAACAAGTTTTAGACGATTTATTGTTGTTAAGGCTGTGGTATATGCCTTTTTAAAATGAACGCCTTTAAAAAAATCGACACGACGACAGGAAATTGGGCATACGGTTCATCTGAACTCAAGAAACCAAAATGTTTTAGAAACAACATGTGAATAGTTAGTATAGTACGTACAGAAATATAAAAAAAATTTTAAATAACCAAATGGCAAATATCTGAAACATATGTTAAAATTTTACGAAATTTTCGTGTATAAAGAGTTAAATAAAATCGAATCAGTTTTATTAATCAATAAACGGTTACGTATCGTAAAAGGGACGGGTTTTCTAAATAAAGTGCGATCTTGGTCGTGTCAGTTGGATTAATTGATTTTTTGATTTGTTGTCGACGCGGTTGGAAAATGTTATTTCGAGAAACACGTTCTTAAAGTTTGACATTTGAAGTTGCTGTATCTCCGTTAATTTCTCGAATTTTACTCTGAAATTTGATAAAAGTATTCTCGACACGTACATCTTTTAAAATATAAAAACAAAATCGTTGTTTCTAAACAATCACCTACTTCTGGCTCCTTAAGTACTCATTCAGATGTTGCAACATTCAGATTATTGTCTGATTTACAGCAAATAGTTTTATAGGTTACCAGCTGTTCTTTTTATTAAGCTTCGTTGGATGATTTTTACTTGTCTTTTCATTACTTCTATCAGAACGAAAGAAACAAAAAAACCAATAATTTCGTTGCCATTTGTCGTTCCTGTCGAGGGCTGTTTTTTCCAGTGGAATCAGCTAGGCACGTGAAGACACGATTACCGTACAGAAAAAAAAAACAAACGCAAGTGCTTTCGGCGGCGAAGAGCTCCCCGTGTTTTCTTTCCGCCCAGAAAGTTCAACCAGGGGACCACACGAGGATCCTCGTCGAGGCGAAAACGTTCCTCCTCCCCCGGCTTCTCTCCCCTGCAATTTATTTCATAAATACGTTTCGGTTCGTATAGAAGATACATTCATCCAGGGCCCTCCGTAATGTCGAGTTACTTCCGCGTCGAGCCCGACGTTTATTGCGGACTCAAATCATCCGTTTGACCCATATACGAAAATCTCGACGGGCGTGTACCGGTACCTCGGATTTGATAACGAACGGATTGAATTTGATAAATAAGGGTCGCGCGGAACTGTACCGGTGTCGGTTCCCCTTGCGTTTTTTTTCCTTGTGGCGTTCGATTCGTTTCGATTTCCGTCGACTTTCCGTTCGTTTCGAGATAAGAGTTTCGATATATTTCGAAGAAATAACTTTTGGACCGGTGGTGGTTTACTTCGTTGGTTATGGGTCCATGGAGAAATGATCTTTACATATTTGGACATTTTCGAACTATGTGAAACGATCGAACACTACTCGAACTATTTGAAGCGATCGAACACTGCTCAAACTAGTTGAACATCTTTTAGGTGTTGGAACTGTTTGAACATTTCGTCAAATATTCGAACTGTTGGAACATTTCGTCAGATGTTCGATCTGTTTGAACATTTCGTCAAGTGTTGGAAACATGTTCGAACAGTTTGGTCAGCCATTACTACGAATCGTACAGGAACGCTTTGCTCGACCAACGTTCGATTTCGTTCCATCGTTTGAGCCTGGATCTGAATCTAACAGAGGGTTCGCAGAAAAGTCGTGGGCGTTTAACTCGGTTTACTGGCCACGCATCCCCGAAAATATACGGTACTTACGCAATCCTGTTATACATATTACGCGCGTTCGTCATCGCCACCCTCCGAGAGGACAAACTCGTTCCTCCGTCTATCGTCTTATTCTCCCTTCTTATTTGAACGCTTCGACTAACCAGTCCAGTTCTCCCGGTAACGTTTTCACAGGGTTTCATTCCTCCCTCTCTACGTGTTAACCAAGTGATTTGTTGATCGTAAACATCCACGTAGGATATGATTGATGTCGAAGGAAATTTTACGAAGGTATATACTATTCCACAACCCATCACTGGTTATTCTATTCTTACTAAAACTTACGACTATTCGATTAAATTTATTTCAAACAACTCACGTCGCGGTAAGCACCAATTTTTACCTTTACACCGAGATATACGTCACACTTGAAGCAACAAAGTCGACTGTGTATTACAAAATCATATCTTCTGCAATTTCGAATCTTCATCCAAACGGTTACAAATATTCAATATTGAGCTCCGAACCTTATAGCTCGAAAATTTTCCAAACAAAAAAAGATGAATACACGCGAAGTTACGTTTCTCTGTCTGTCTCCTTATTATTTCTCGCGGTACAAGGATACCTCGTTCGAAACCACGGTTCTCTAACCGCAATCGATCCAACGACGATTACCAGATCAATTTAGAAAGAGGATCCTCGTCGGACAGGTCACTCTCGTGCAGAACATTCATTCTGTGTGCCCAATATTTGCGGTCTAATCGGAAGAGATCGTTTCGTAGGTTGTTCTCGCACGTCCGCCACTCGTCCAGGATCTCGTCCTATATTTCTGTTCCCTCGCCCAGACGAATTAATTCCATTCCTCGGTGATCAGTAATTACAGCGTTGAAATAACATTTACAATATTCCGTTAATTGCATTCCAGTTTGAATTTTCGAAAAGGTACAGACGATCGATCGTCGCTAGGGTGACGATGAGAATCACGGACTGGCGCACAGTGTTGCGATTACAGATGTTAGCTAAATGGTACCCTATTAATTTTTTACGTAGAATGAGCAGAGCAATCGATCTATACAACAAACAATATGCATTTCCATTTAAAGAAATGATGCAATTGTTAATTGCACATGCACTGTTGCACTTCAAAAAAACCTAGGGGCCTACAGATGTAGTGCTCTTCGAGCCATTTATCTTTCTCCTTTGACATTTTTTCATAAGTGCATTAATAACGGAACTATGACCTGAAACAATTACGTGGACCACCTTGTATAACGAGTTGCGATATTAATAACATGGACAGTATTAGGTGCTGTCACCCTATACGTTATCTGTAAGACGGACTCGTAACTTCCCACGAATTTCCCTGAGTTGTTTGTCGAATCGAAACGGGAGAATCCACTGTTCGTCCCGAAAAGGGTTGTTTAATGTACCTTTCCTCCCGGTAGCCTTTTGAACAGGTTTATTTGTATTTAATCCGTTACTCACCGATTTTCCATGGTTGTTCGCAGGGGCTTGAAGCGACATTGAGTGACAGCAAAAAGAAGTACGGCGACAAGGTGAATGCACTTCTGTCCGCCTGGGAGCATGTCACCAATTTCATTCCTGGGGCAACGCCAGAGGCCACCCAGTCTCTCATAGAATGGGCTCACAAGTGAGTATTCCCGTCGATCCTGGATCGACGGTGTTCCACCGTGTCATCGGACAACTATCGCAATTATCCTCCAATCCGTGATTCTTCTACCTCTGCCTCTCCCTCTCTCTTTCTCTATTCCCGTTTCGTTCCTCTTATTATTCTTCGGCGTTGAAATAACGATGACAACCGACGCGATTCGTTTCGGCGATTCTTCGACCACGAAACAGTGGAGAGGAAGCTACGATGGAAAAATGTTTATAGCCTGGGGGACCGCCAGAAACGCATCAGTGTATCCATAGGTAGTGATGGGTTCGTGAACAAACGGTTCAAACACGTGTGGACACTTCCAAACGCAAGATGTTTAAAGAGTGTTCGGTCTTTTGAACGATTCGCACCTTTGAAACGACCAAACGCCGCTTGAACGTCTCTTCAAGGGTTCAGACATGTTTGAACAGTTTCATCACCCATCATTATTCATAGGGAGCAACGATGACGCGCAATAAACATTAAAATCGTTGTAACTTAGCAACCGTTTAGTAGATTCGTTTACAAATTTTTGCAGAACATCAGGAAGTCTAGAACAATCTCACAAATTTTTGTTGGCTTCGTATTTTTTTTGAAGATCGGTCCGATACATTCGTAAGTTCAATTTGTACCAATTTCTAAGAAACATCGTCAGAACTTCATCCTTTTCTTTACCTGTTTTCAAAAACAACAGTCTCATAGACGGCACGTGATTGTGTGCTCACGAAAAAGTCCGCACAAGAATTAACCCTTGCTCTGCATTGTGAAATTTTTTCGCGAGTCATGTTTGACTCTGCCATCGGCCTCAGCGATTCCGAAATGCGGTAGAGATAAAAAGATCCGCGGAACGAAACGAGAGAAATAAATTGAATCGATTTTTCTTTGCAGACACACATTGAAATTGGTTCTGCGCGGGGAGTGGCCGAAGTTGTCACCCGCGACAAAGACGCACCTCAGCGTGACCTTACAGAGGTGCGCGTCTCACCTGGTGCAACACCCCGCTGCACCCAGGTGCACTGCCCTGATAGCTCTGGTGCACAATCCATGGACTCATCCCGCGCTCGACAGCATACTTAACGGCCAACCGGATTCCGAACATGAGGAGGGTACGTTGTATAAATAACGATCGTCTCACGAATCATCTTTCCTTGTCGAGTCTTCCCTTAAGGGGTCTCCCTACAGTCTACAGTGACGGGTCAAACGAATCGATTTTTTCTTTTTTACATTTTCTCAAGGCTTAATATTTCAACACCATAATCCGAAAAGGATTTAGTCCGATTCAAAAGAATAAGGAAGTGATTAGCTTTTAACCGAAGTGGGCAGGTTCAAATCGAAACTTTAAACGCGTTTTTCTCAAAACGACATTTTTGTAAATGGCTGCCACGATATCTCAGAAACTATTTGACGGAATGACTTTCATTTTTCAAATGAAAAAGATTAAGTTTATTCTATTAGCGTATACGAATCCATAGAAAAAAGTTTGAAAGCGATCCTCAGTTCGAATTCCTTGCCGTCATAAAATTCGACGTAAACCGTTTAAACTCTTCGTCAGGGGTTTTGAACATAATTGAACGGTTCGATTACCCGCTACGCTAGGTTGAAACTCAAACGATTCGAGTTCTCCTAATCGACATTCTTTCTGACTTGTTACAGAATTCTGTTGTTCGGAGAAAGGCGAACTGTTAACAATGAGGCTGAAAATACTTTGCGAGGACCGCTGCGAGGACATAGCGGTGAACCTCGCCGCCGCTTGCGTACGTTCCCTCCGGCGGAGCGATCGTCTGCGCTCGCTCTCGGATTCTCATCACGTTCATTACATGATCGACGTCTATATTGTCCTATTGTATAAATTGAAACGCACGCAAGATATATTCGCTCAAGTGAGTATACCGGTTCGGCCGAAAGGCCCGTCGACCTTTTCGTTTGAAAGAACCTCCCGCGGCGCCTCGTCGCTCTGTCGCCCTCCGTACCGATCCTTCGATACGTATATATTCACTAGGGTGGTGCTTATTTAATAAAAAAATTTTTTGTATTCTTTCACTGGGCCTCTATCAATATATTCACCCGTATGAGTAAATAATATGGTATTTAAAAGATTTTTGCAGTTAAATATTAAGGGCTGCTACCAGCCATTACATTTTGTGTTGTTTTTGTTTCAAGAAGAAGAATTCAGTTTATGATTCTTTTAACATGTCCATTTAATATTTACCAAAATAAATTTGTGGACTGACAATTCACATTTATAAAAATCCATTTCGCAAATACATATCATTAAGCTGATAAAATCGATTTCCTAATGTGAGGATATTTCTGTCGAAATTGCTTGACTGATGGCAACGAATATTGTTGTAAATACTCTATAAATCCGACTCTCAGATTTATAGAGAGCCCGCTGTATGGATTCTTCGTTCAGAATATTAGTAAGAGAACAAGTAGTATAGAGAACAAAATAGTACGGTGCCTAAGCAATACTTTAAAAATTTAATTTCAAGCACCACTCTAATGTTCATCCATATCGCGTGCCAATCGATCGTCCTCTCTCGTCCTTTTCTCCGTCTGTACAGGGATGACACGCAATAAAGAGACGTTCGTTTCCTTTCTTTCAGTTAAAATTAATGGATCTCAGCGACGGTTTGGAATTGGTCCAGAGGCTTAGCGGCGAAAGACCGACGAAGTATGGTACCGCGCGTGTTTGGCGAAATTCGATGAAGGCCGCCGAATTGGTTGCACAATATCTCGTCACCGCTGGCATGGTGCGTCCCGTGCCGGAGACGGGCGCGGTCATTTTAGAACAGATCCTGAATTCATGGGCGTCGTTGCACTCAAAATTAAAGGACATCGCGCCCACGTTACCGGGCATGGTACGGAAGCTGATCGAGCCTGCCGAGAGCGCCCAGCATATTTACATCTTTTGCGCGGTGCTCGCGAAACACGTAAGTATAAAACGATTTACCGACGGTCGGTAAAGAAAACGCGATCAGCCTAACCAATATCTGTCCCGTTTCTCTTTCTCCAGTTCGGCGACAACATAAAACCAGTGGTGATCGAGCTGTACATCAGGGCGTTGACGACGGACATGAACGAGATGGAGAGTCAGAAGGCGAAGTCGGACAAGGAGAAGTTTCGCGAGACCGCGAAACGTCTGAGCGCGCAATTCCTGAAACTGGCCGACGTGGTCGGCAGCAACATCGGTATCGCGCGGGAATGCGTCTTGACAGCGTTCTCGTTACATCCCACTAGGATTTGTTACGACAAAATCAAGGAGATCGCGGTGGCATGTGGGAAAACGAAAGAGGACGGTACAGTGTCCGGCGAAGGGGAGAAGCTCAGACACGCGTTGGAGAACAGTCACGGTGGCGTGGCGTTGTCGAAGACGACGGTGAACGACACCGACGAAAAGAAAGAGGGAACGAGGACGGGGAACGTGGAAACGGTTTCGTCTTTGCGCGATTCTTCGTTGCTTCCAGCCCCGTCGTTGCCTGATTCGATGACGTCCACGACCGCGGTCTCGTCGGCGGCGAAGAAGGGCATAGACTTTCAGAACGGGCAATTGAGCAAGACCTTCGAGCGCACCGATCAGCTGCTGAAGAGCCTTTTGTCGAGCACGAAAAAGGGAGAAATCGGTATCTCGGCGAACGACAGGTGCCCATTACACCCAAAGAGAGATCCTTTGACCGGCGGTCCGCTCGGCGAGCTGTGCTTCAATTGCGGCGAATTCACCGGAAATGATATCGTCGCTAGTAAAACATCATCGGAGACGAATGAGCCAGCGATGAGAAACGTGGAAAGGTCGCTGGATGCCTTGATTTTGATCAAAGGGGACGCTGTCACCGGTTCGGCGAATTACGACGAGAAATCGGTACCGAATCAGGTCCTCGATGCGGGGAAACTCGGGCTGTCGCCGCAGCTATGCGACGACTTGGCGGTGGTTTTGAGCAGTCCGCGATACCACATGCTTAGTTGGGTTCTGGATTGGAAGGAGTTGAACGGCCTCTGCGAGAGATACTTGGAGAACGCCGAGGAGATGAGAAACACCAACAAGGAATTGAAATATCTAAATATCGATTACTCGCAATTCAAGGATTGGCCCTCGGAGGACGAATCCAAGGACATCTTCTTCGGCATCGAGAAGGGGTACGAGCAGTGGGTCGATCTGCCATCTGACCATTCGGAGCAATTCGGGAGCTTTCAACCAGCTGGAACGTACAAAAGATCCTCCACAAGACGAAGCCTGGACGACACCACCACCGATTCGGACAGCGGTAGTATGCTCCGTGTACGAAGAACAGGAAGACAAAGAAAGATTCACAGACTGGAGTCCTCTGAGAGCGACTACGACAGCGCGGAGCGTAAATTGAAACACTACAGGAACAGCTCAGTGTCGGACAGCGACAGTAACACGCAGGACAGTCAAACGGACAGTCTGGGCAGCGACGGATGTCGGCTGGATGGGAAAAAGAAAGCTGGTAAAACGCCCAACAAGGACTCGAACAAGAAACGTTCGAAGTCAACGAAGCTGACCGTCGAGTCCGTCTCGCATTTCCATATGCTGGTCAACCAGAACGTACGACACGCGAACGCGAACGAGGATGCCAGCGGATCCGACGTGAGCAGCAACGACATTATCACTCTGTTCTCCGCCGACATGGACGAGAACAAACGGGAGACGATAAAGGGGTCCGCGTATACGGCAGCCGCGCCGTTGATCATCACCGAGAGAAGAAGCGACCCGGCGGTACTTAAGTCCCTGAGAATGTTCAGGCCGCAGAACACGAAGAAACCAACGAGAATTTCGCAGATACTGCAGAAGAACCTGTTGAACAAGAGTAAGGACAATAATAATTTAGAGAATAACGCCAGCAACGTGACGAAGTTCGCCCCGATGCTGAGCACGCTGAACCTGAACCCGAAGATCGTGTTGACCAGAGCGGACGAGATCGACAGGCGGCTGATCCAATCGAAGAAACAGCAACGATTGAGCACCGGTGACATCACCAGCGAACTGATGAACATCCAGAAAAACATGCCGTTCTCGCCTAACAAGAACGCGATATCGACGTATCAGAAGCAGAAGGGAAATGGCGGAACGAACACAGCCAAGTCTGAATTAAGTTCCACCGACGTTCACGATCTGAACTCCAAATCCAGTCTGGGCAAAAGAAAATTCGACATTTTAGCGAAAGCAGTTAGAGACTCGGACATCCTGGCGAAGAACGTGCCAGGTTTGAATTCGTTGGACATGATGGTACCGCCTAGGATGCGACCCACTGTCAACGTCGTGCAGCTTTCACGAAACATTCCACAGAGCCCGAATTCCGGCTCGGTTAACAGCGGCAACACACCACCGAGACCGAACAGAACTCCGAGCGTAGCCGGAAGCATTCAGCTACCTGGAACGCCTTCCTCCGGTGGGCACGACAGCGGCGTTGGCATGAGCCCAGCGGGTCAAACACCGCCTCCAAGATCCTCGGCTCTTCCGGATGTCGGCGAGGAGGCGAATCAACCGCCGGATGGCTCACCAACTTCCTCGACGACCACCACCGTGTCCAGTCAACTCGAATCTGATTCCAGTCCTAGAACAACAACTGGTTCGATTCGTCGAAATCAGCAGAATCAGTCTCCAAAGAAGTCACCTTCCCCTTGTTCCGGTGTTACGACAACAACAACGACAACCACTACCACCTCGGCCATTGGCTCGGCGGCGATCGCGTCGGAGCAACTGCAGATCGTCTGCAAGCCGGACGGCACTTACCAGCTGGCCTCCGTCAACCCAAATGTCGTCACAAATCAGAGGAACGTTCTCAACCTACAAAACATAGAGGACGGTAGCGTCGGCGGGTTCTCACGGCAGAACCAACACTCGGAGAACGCGACCACAAACAGAAACGTCTACGAGAGATTGACCGCCGCTAAGAGCAACGCGCAGTCGGGACAAAATGCTGGTCTGCCCAAGTTTCAACAGGCTTTTCGAAAGACCATATACACTCTGTCCACGGACGCGTCGAGCGACGTCGCTGGGCCAACCGGGGAAACCCTGGTGCAATCAGCGTCCCCGCAGAAAACATCGAATCTCTCGAAGGCGGTTCAGACGTCTGTTCCGAACGCCCAACAGACGAACTCGACCACCGGGATCAACGTACAGTCGATCGCGAACATTCCGAACACGTTGCAATTGTCCACCGGCAGGCAGATCTTGAACATCGTACAGAGCTCCGGGAACAACGCGAATGTGACCACCACGCCGACTGCAAATCAGACGCTGACGCAGCTGGTCCAGAGCGTTCAGAACGCTTCACCAGGAGTGATATACACGCACAAAATTCCTGTCACGATATCCACCACGAATCCAAGTCAGCTGAACATCATTCCTACTATATCGCACGCGAACTCAATACCAGCCGGAAGAACGCCTGTGGTAAAATTGAACATCATTCGAACTACCACGCCGTTGAGGCAGCAAAACATTACCGGTGCTATTCAGGCAGTTTTGACCACGCCTAGATTGCAACAGCAACAGCAGCAACAACAACAGCAACAACAACCGCAGCAACAACAGCCTCAACCAGCAGTTAGGCCGGACAGTTTGATCGGGTCGCCCATAGAAGTGCCCAATCAAGTCAGCTCGACCACTTTGGAACAGCTTAGAGAGTTCGAGAGCGTCTTGGAACAGGTAAAGGAGAGGAGTACTATTCAACCACAGTCTCATCAGTTGATATCCACTGCCGCCACGACCACCGTGCAAACGCAAACGACCACCCAACAGACGCAAGCCACCAAACAGCAGCAACAACAACAACAACAGCAGCAACAGGTTTCCGTAAGTGCTCTCGCGCAACAGCTCCTGATGCCCACGCAACAATCAACCAACACTGATTTCGCGAGCAACGGGAACACCGTGAACTTCCAGCAGGACATTTTTTCGCAGAAAGTCTCATTAGCGTATGTGAACCAGAGCCCAGGAAACAGCACCCCGAAGACCCCGAACACGACGCCAGTCGTCGTGGTCACGAGTTACTGCCAACCAGCCGCCTCGCCAGCTTTGAGCGTCACATCTCAGAGTTCCTCGAGTCCCTGCGTGACACCAGCACCAGCGCCCATACCATCCGCCGTTAAGACACCACCGACACCACCTTCCGCGAAACAGGTGAAGAAGTCAACGCCGAAAACCGTGAAAACCAGCGCGACAAACACCTCAAAGGCCTCTCCGATCCCGAAGCCACAGCAGAAACCGCAAGAGGACGAGCAAACCGCGCAGAGGATCTACGCGATCCTCGACGAGTACGCGGAACAACTTCGTAACTCGCCGGATTTGAATAACAAGCCAGCGCCTAGAAGACGATCGAATCCACCGACAAATCCCAGCCAGTCCTCGAAACGGAAGAAATCGAGCGCGAACAAGACAAAACCGGTCGGCCAACAAAACTCGGAGCTAAGCCCCAGCACCGACGATCTCGGTCGGACCATGGGCAGCGAGGATTCCTCCAGCGGAGTGGTACATGTACAGGACAGTCCTGCCGGTTTTCCAGCTCCTGAAGAACCAACGAGCAACGTCACGACCGTCAGCGACGCGAACGCCGAGGTCCGAAACTTAACACAGGACTCTAACGACGGGGTCGAACTGAATGTCAAGAGGCGAAATCTGATATTCGCCGAGCCCGGTTCCGGTCAGCCAAGAGCGGTAATCGTTCAAGAGGCTGTGCAGACCGGTTCGGTGAGCGTAAGCGAAGCCCTAGCCTCGGTCACAGGTAAAATGGGAAGCACCGCTGTCCTAGTACCGGGCACCAATTACATCCTGCCCATGAACCTGATGAAAGGCGGCCAACAATTCACGATAGTGTCCAGCGGATCGAAACTGCTCGCCACCGTGCCCGCCACCGTACGCACCACCGGCAACACCGGTGTCTCGAACACCCTGGTGCTTCAGTCATTTCTAAATCAAGCGGGAAAGATCATTTCGCAGCCGGCTCAAATGAAACAAGTTAAGATACCAACGCTGCAAACGCTGTCGGGCAATCAGACGTTAACAACCGCGCAGAACGTTCAGGGAGCCTCGGTGGTGATCCCTCAAACTACCACCACCGGTCCGTTCGCCGGTGATACGGGTACGGAGAAGAGCAACATTATCGGCGACTTGACCATGGCGAAAACAAACGACGCTGTTACTGGCGGAGCAGTCACCGTCGAGCCAGCGACGAACGCGATCGTCGTGAACAAAAGTACTTCCGCGATCGGTCTGATACAACGGAACTTGAACGAGGCGACGGAGAACCAGCAGATATGCGGCGTGATCACCAGCAATCCGAATTTGACGCTTCAAGGGGCGAGACTGTTCAACTCGTCGATACACAAATTGTCGACGTCGTCAGGGCTGAAATCGGACAACGTGGTGTGCTTGACGCCAACCGCCGCGACCATAGCGCACACGCCCGAGAAGAAACCGTCACAAGAGACGCAAGTTCATAATGAGAAACCTGTTTCCATTCAACCGGGCGCCACGATCGCTCTTGCGTTCGCCACACAGTCGGATGTCTCGATGCTGAACGACGCTCAGCAACAACACCAGCATCAGCAGAAGGACATGAAGGAGGTGTCGACGGATATTATCGCTGGCGGCAAGATCATCTCCCCGAAAACGGTCAAGAGAAAAATCGACGACGCTGCTATGGGTATGTCGGTGAACGTTCCGAAAACCTTGATCGCGTCCAACTCGGTCATTTCGAGCAACGCAACCTCGTTACAGAATAACGCGGCAATTGGTTAGTGGTTCTCACGGTTTTTCCTCAATTTTTTTTTTTATCTTCGTCGTAGTATACGGGGTGGTCCGCCTAAATGGAATCGCATAAATGTCTCCGTTACTTGTCACTGTGTCACGAAACTGCTCATGACAAAGCTACACTATTTGAGTGAGAACGTGTAACGGTAGGAAAAATTTTTTGTCTAGGTCATTTTGTAACACTAGAACTACCGACGATAAACGCATATTTGCTTCGATTATTTACATACGTAGAAGAGACAAACAAATCGCAAACTAGTTATCGTAAAGAATTCTGAAACAGTTCTTATTTCTGTTTAAACACAGTGCAACTTTACACCTTTGACGTTTTCTGTGTGAAAAGCCTCTGCACGTGAGTTATTTAGGCCTTATCTTTGAACCTGGGAGTGTAGGCAATTTGTAGGCCAATGTCCAGTTTGGTCTTGCTATAATTCTTATGATCTGTCTATTTCCATCTGTTCGCTTGATATCTACAGTAAAGAATTGCAAAACATGGAAATGATTCAAGATATCATTCGCTCTTCGTCCAATACCTTGTACCCTATTAATATTCAATCTCAAGATAGTTTCATCTGAAAGGTAATTAACATTTCCTACAGATACACGTAACTTCGTCCAGAGAAGAGTTTTTTCATACAACCGACAACTAACAGAAATATTTAGATCGTCTCCACCCTGTTATACATCCTCGACAAAGTAAAAAAAAAATAGCATATTTATTATTACTGTTAGGTTAAGTACCAATTATGTTTATATCTATTTTATATTTATTCTTATCATTGTTATATCTCACCTAAACTCCAATCGATGATTTGTTGTATTAGTGTTACGGAACATTTTAATCACATATTGTAAAAAAGGGTTTTCACCCTACGAATTAAACTGAATTAAAATTAAAAAAATTTAACGGCTCTACACGCAATCTCGTCGAGTAATTTTTTTCAGCGGCAGGTTCGATCGGTAACGCTGAAATCTATTCTTTCCAGATTCTATATCCACGATAGTGACCAGCAAGCAATCGGGAGGATTGGATAACACGACGCAATTCTTGGTGACCGGCGGTCCAAGCAGCTCCGACAGCCAAGAGTCATCCGTGCAACAGTCCGCGGAGGGTATCGACGTGTCCTGCAAAGTCGGGAACGGTCTGCTGTACGGGAACGCCAGGCTGCAAGAAGCTTGGGAACCGGAGGGCAAAGTCTCGCCCGACACACCGTGGCGATACGTGCCCACATCCGGGAACTCGTTGACCATCGAGCCCCTGAATTCACGATACGCCGACAACACGGAGAACGTGCAGAGCGTTCTGCAGATCATCAACAAGGGTCAGGGTATCGAGATGGCAGGCGGTCAGATCTATCAGACGAACACCAAGAAATACTTTATGAACCACACCCTGGAACCGTTTCAACAGTATTCGAATAAAACGAACGCGATGAAGACCCCCCTGAACCCTAGACTGGACCGGGAACTGTTGCAGCAGAAAATGGAGAGGAAGGCGGCCGCGATCGAACGGGAGATGAGGCTGCAGAAGAGTTTATCAGAGGAATGTGAGGATTTAGGTGTAGACGAGCCGAGTACCAGCGATCTGTTCCCTGAGGCAGATTTGTTATTCGACACAAACCATTCGCCGTCTTTCGATCATTCCTCCCAAGATGCGTCATGCAGTCAACCACTCGGGATGAAGTCCTACAGCGGCTGCTATTTTCGTTCCCTGGACTCGTCGAGCGGCAGCAGGGACGCCAGTCCAGTCGCCGACTTCAAGGTGAACGAGCGTAGAAAAAACACCAGCCAACGGACGAGAACCTCGAAGGATTCATCGAAGAGGTCGAAGAGGGACAAGGTGGAAGACTTGCATCTCGAGAATCCGGCTAAGCATATGCGATTGACCTTGGACAATTTGAGCCAGGACGAAGCGTCGAACAGCAATTCCGATATCTCCAGGCTCTCGCCGTCGAATCTGGGCTCGTTGGAGAACGACTCGCTGAAGGACACCGGTCGAACGAAGATCGCCTCGAGGAACGGCTCGAAGGAAGGCTCGCCTAGCAGCGTATCTAGCATTCCATCGAACATGAAACTGGACATCGACCTGGACTCCGAGTCTCTGCCAGCGACCATCAACGTGAACAACGCGTCAGCGGCCAGTTCAGGGGACGAGAGTTTAACGTTGCTGAGCGGGACCACCGCTGACGTGACGATACCGTCGCCCCTCTCGCCGATCGCCGGCCCGATGCTCTCCACGCACAAATACACGTACACCAATAAGAAACGGATATCGTCCAAGGTGACGAGGATGGATTATCTGTCCTGGGAGAGTCCGATGTCCGAAAGGACGAGATCGAGCAGCGACGAGGAGGATTCTAGCATAAGCGAGTCGATCGGCAGCCAAACCGAGGAGAACGCTCTAAGCAACGGCCTCGACGATAGCGTTCAGAGCCTGAAATCTCTGTCCAACGACCGTCGTTGCAGTTACTTGAAGAAAAAGGACAAACTCCAGGTGAATGCCAGGGTGGTGCTGAATCGAGCGGATCATAATAAATCTGGCGGTCTCTCGAAGCGTATCAAGGCGAACGAGTCGATCCAGGATGCGGTGATGGTCTCCAGTGACAAGGCATCCGAGCCCTCGGATGACGAGACCAGCAACATCGCGTTGGTCGAGCCGGATTGCAGAGCGAGACGGTCCAGTTTGCGTGGTCACGTGAAAAAGGGATGCGCCTGTTGCAACGGATCGCCTGAGAGACCGAAGAAGAAGTCCGTCAAGTCCGAATACTCGAAGCTAAAGAAACGTTTGTCTTCGAAACAGACCGGTAAGAAAAGGTAGTCCTAGCGATCGAAGGCTCGCCAGAGCATCGTGTGTTCTATCCTGATGTCGGTACGCTCGTTCCTGCGACCTGGGACTCGATCCGGTCCTAGGACTACGGAGATGATACGAAGAGAAGGAGGAGGCGATGGTGAACGAGGAGGGAAGTTTATAGACGGTTCGACGCAGCCTCGCAGCCTCCACATCGACGACGGACGAAGCTAGAACCGAGGGAACAGAGAAGGCGCGGGACAAAAGGAACGCATCGAAGGATCAAGAGGAAAGTTCCCGCGACTCAGAGATAAAAAACGATCCATAGAAATATCAAAGCTTGTACATACGTAGTAGCGTGAACACAAGGGTTGTTAGCAAGAATAACTTTTCTGGTATCCATCGTAACTTCGATGTGCGTGCGCGTGCTTGTGTGCGTGTGTATGTGTGTGTGCCTATCCTCTCCACGTAGGCAAACAATGATGTTATTCGCGAGACAGAGTTCTTCGTAAAAACATGAATTCACGCTGACAATTCGTTTCGTTGATCGAGAAGGAGAGAGAAAGAGTGATCGAAAACGACGACAGATAGGGAAAAGAAAACGATGATGGATAGAGAGAGAAAGAGAGAGTGAGAACGAACGATTCGTTTGCAGATCTTTGCGAGAATAGATCATCCTCTTACCACTAGATGTTACTACGATACCTAGGTGTAAGGTGCAAATTATAATGAATGGCAGACTTAGATTAAATCGTTAAGAATTATTAGAGACGCAATCTAGTCAAGAGATAAGGTTTGTGGCGAGGAGTTAGGCGCGCTCGAGAGGGAGAGCAAGAGAAAAAGAGAGGGAGAGAGAGTCTGTGTGTGTGTGTCTGTGAATGCAAGCGAGGGTTGAGAAGGGAGAGCGAATGATCGGGAAAAAAAAATATACGGTAAATAAATGAAATAGAATGTGTCCGATTGTCGATAGATCCCTCGCAGACTAAAGAGCCTGAATTTATATAATTCTCTCTATAACTATATCTATCGCGACCGATACTATTCCACGTTCTTACACGGTGTGGTCAGACTGAGTAGACGAACAAAAAAAAATGAAGAAATACATAGTCTATTAGATCTCGTTCGGTGAAATTAACGTAGTAAGGACACGCATTGAACTTTTGCCTTTCCGCGTAACGCTTCTCGGTATACATAGAACCTTACAAAACTTTATAATCGAGACGATCCTTGTAAATTGTGTAGCATCAAATACCTTGATCGGGAAGGTGGGATGGGGTGGGGGGAGAAAGAAGTTGACGAGGGAGAATTGATAAACGAAACGAGATTCGATAGGGAAAGCCAGAACCACAGAGACCGGTGAGAATTAGAAGATATCGAGAAATAGGAGAAGAACAGCAAGGAGAGAATAGAAGAAGAAAAAAGTAACGAAAGAACTCGATGAAATATATATATAAATATATAAATATATAAATATATATTAATGAAAAAGCAAAACTTGTCTGTCGTACGGGCCGACCATACCTTGTCACACGGTGCATGTAAAGAAAGAAAAGAAAAATACTAACGTACCCAAAAAACTTGTACATTACGTAGATAATTCATTAAAAAGTATAATATTAATATCGCTGCACTTTAGTACAAAATCGCTTCACCTTGTTTCAGAATGACACACAGGTTTATATCATCTTTCGGTGTGCTGTCGTGACCCGCGTGAGAATTGCCTGCGATTTATTACGGAACGAAAATTATAAAAACCAAAACGACGGGGGAAAACGAAAAAGCGAAAGAAAAAAAAGAACGAGTAAGAGAAACACACGCAAGTGTAAAAGGTTGTGCGCGATTATAAGCTACGGAAAAAAGAGAGGGAAAAAAGATGAACAAACACAGCGCGCGATAAATTCGCGATATACATATATATATATATATACGCACGCGTTTCTTTCCCGCGCCTCGGGTCGCGGCTGCGCGCGGACTTGGAATATCGTTCGAAAGAAGAAAAACTTCCTCTCCACGTATGTAAAAAAATTGCTAGAAACTCAATTTACGTCCGCGCATTTTGTTATGTAATTAATCCCCTCCCCCCCTCGGGGACGCGGAACGCCAAGCGTTGCGTTTAGGGATGTCGAAAAGTAATGTTCCTGTGAATAATCTCCTTTCGTGATACGAACCAAAGTATAAACTCCGTTTAAATGGAAGCGAACAAGACGAAGAACGAGAGAACGAAAAAGAAAGCTACGGGACGAGAGCTAAGAAGAAAAGAAAAACACGAGAGAAGGAGGGAAAAGTGAAAAAAAAAAGGTCTAGCGAGCTAATGAATTCTACCGTCTTTCGTGTCATCGGATTGTAAATCGTATTAGTTGAATTGCTTCACTCTGAACGTATTTAATGTAAGATAGATATCTTCTTTATTCCATTATCGTTTCTTTTCTCGTTTTTCTTTTCCATTCTGTCGACGACGATTTAGGAAAAAATCTCTACCTCGTGCCACGCGTCGATCGTCATCATCATCTTTCTCGTAGGTTGTTCCCATGTCGCGTATGTTCAAGCAATTTCTCGCCGTTCGCGCGTCACGGGAAAGAAAAATCGGCCGCTGTCACCTCGAAACGATCCGCGACCAACTTCCCACCTCGAGCCAAGACGTGCGTGAAGGCCACCATAGGACAATCCGTGATCGATATTCAGTTTCGAGTCTCCAAGCTCTGTTTCGAGGCGATTTTTACATCGCGCTTTGAATGTGTCCTCTGTTGCAATAGCGATCGATTATGGAAAAGAATCGATATATCTCGTTGTGAACTCGGTAGTTCACGCACGGGCACCGTCTAGAATGTCTAGTCGTAAATATCTTTCTCAGTGTTTCGGTGATATTCGCGAGGCGATCGAAAGATTCGACGATTATTTATTCGAAGAAGTGTCGAAACGCGAGGTGTGGCAAGTTTACAATCCACGATTTCTGTGTTCGCGCTGTTTCGATCGCGACACGAATTACGATACACGTGTGCTACAGTTGCCTCTAATGTAAATATCCGCGTATACAGCGTAGTAACTTTCTCGAGAACCCCTGAAGTTTGTCCCAATTGGAATCGGAACTGAAAATCGGTTTTCCAAGCGATATCCGACGAGTGGTTCAGCGGCCGCCGCGTTGTCGCTGTTTGCGTGTCTTTAAAAGTACGTAAGATCTTATCCTTCCTGTACCATTTAGAGCGAGATCGGACGAGAAAACAGAGAAGTGATACATATAACGGTGAGAAGATGGGAAAAAAGGGAAACTTGCATAATTAGCTAATACAGATTTATGTACGGAGCCCGAGAGCAGTGACGGTGAGGGGGGGAAGACGTTTTAGATGAAAAAAAAGACGCGCATCTGTATGTGTGTGTAGATGTAAATTTTTGTGTGGGAGACGTCGCACCAAAATAACAATACGTATTTTTTGATGGGATGGAAAAAAAAGAAAAATGTTACATGTAGCTTACACGTTAGAGGAAACGCGCGAGTGTTCGCGCGCGCGCGCGCGAAAGAGAGAGTGAATGGGGACAGAGCGATAGAGGACGAATGCCTGGAAGGGAGAGAATGAGGAGTGAAAAAAAAAATATTCGATTGTCGGTGATAGCCTGGCCTTTTTCGCCACCTTTAGTCGTACCAATCGCATTTATAATAGAGGGGTAAATTGTAGTCTTCGTAAACGCAAACTCATGAGTGGACTTAATTAAGGTGAAACGACGTGAGAAAACCTAGAAAAGAAACGCTTAAGAACGGGGCTGAGTTTTCCAAAGCCCGAGAGCTTTTTCAGGTACTTAAATGTAAAACAGACAGACAGAGGTGAGGCAAACGAGACCGAGAAAGAGGGAAATAAGGGAAAATACGATAACTGAGATCGGAAGGACAGAGAGACGAGGAATAAAAAGAGAAAACGAAATAGGAAGTATAAAAAAAAAAAGAGATGAATGGAAACGATGCAACCGCTATACAGTGGCCGTTAAAAAGATGATTAACTTAAGAGTTTTTTTGTATCGTATCGTATCGTATCGTATCGTATCGTATCGTTTGGTGAAGAGACTACTCTTTTTTCTCACTCGGAAAAGAAACGAAACCACTCCCTTATTACCCAATATCTTCGAGAGAAACAGAAAGGACGATGTCGCCGCGTCATGTCGCTTCGGTATCCGCGAAACGGAGAACGTGTGAGAATCGACGTGGACGTGGGACGATGAAAAAATTGACGTTAGTATCGGAGATGAAAGAAACGAGAAAACCGAGTATGAAGAAAAATTGATGTCGATGAGAGAGTTTGGAGGGATAGTGCGATAGAGAGATAGACGAAATACACGTATTCGAAACGGGGGAGAGACGGCCAGGCACTGCAAAACGTACATTCATTAAGGGATTACGCATTGTCGTTTAGCACAAATCAGTTGATGAAGATCGAGAGAGAGAGAGAGAGAGAGAGATTAAAATAAACTTAATAACGCGATAAACAGGCGAGAAAAAGGATAGAGGAAGAAGGGGTAGCCGGAATAAACCGAGGACGAAGTTGTTACAGAGGATTAAATAAAAAAGAATAAAATAACAAAGATAGAGGAAGAAGGGGAAGCCGGAATAAACCGAGGACGAAGTTGTTACAGAGGATTAAATAAAAAAGAATAAAATAACAATAGACACATCCCGGTACAGTCATGTCCGTAGATTAATGGAAGACACGAAGATCCGAACAATAATCCGCTTCTCTTCAATCGGTTTGGAACGATTTTACACGGTTGTAATAACGAACGAGAAAAAGTAAAGAGACACGATCGAAGGGAAACATTTCTTTTCTAGAGACGTACACCGTTACACACGCACACATATGTGTATGTATGCGTGTGTGTCTGTCCTGTGTGTGTGGGTGTGCTGCACGTGGAACACACGAAGCATGTTTTCGACCATACAATATATTCTCGAGGTGTCCAATCGTTGGAAGTTGAGGAACGCTCTCGATCGGTAACGATCGAACCGCGTCCATCCAGGCGCGCGTGTGTTTAACGTAGAATCGACGCTTAATAATTTAAATGTAAATATTCCGACAGCGTTAAACGCGTATATTCCACGTGTGATGAGCCGCAACTTTCAGGGGTGTCTCCTCGCCTAATCTTTTTTTGCATAACGACACCTAGCCAGAATATATTTTCGGTGTGTTCCACGTGCATGTGTGTGGTGTCCCGATCGAAAGAAATTTCCGAATTCGATACGTTCGATCAGATTTTTCACGGTAATCACGGAAACAATGTGTAACGCGCGACGCTATCGCGAATATTCTTTTTAATACGCGGGCTCCATGTTTTTTTTTTGTTATAAATAGCATCGAAAACGGTCGCTGGAAATGTTTCCGTTCGTTACACGTTTTGTATTTTTTTTTTTTTAAACGTTAGATCAGTTGTGTCTTTTGCGTGAAATCGAGAACACTTATTCACACGGTATTTCTACCTCGAAATTTTTGCGTGCATTTTATACAATCGAGAGAGTTTTTTGATCATAAATAGGAAGCACGGAAACCCCCGCTGATTATTGGGTTGGCTGAATGTCGAAAACGCCGTTAAACGGGGACGATTTTGTTTTTTTTTGTTTTAATTTATATTTTTGATCCATTCCATGCGATAGAATGGTGTTTCATATCGGATTTATTTTATTTTAAGGGCTAATCGTAGGACGAATATTAAGTTCTTCCGGAGTTTTTAGATTTTTTTTTTTTAATCGAAGACGTAATAATTGTATACTCGAATATCTGAATACCAACAACCCTGAGGGACACGATGGAAAGAAAAGAAAAAACTAAAGTAGTATGCGTTCATTCCAATCACAGCTGAAAAAACGCTGTTGTCCAATAGTAAATTGCGATTTAATCGTGCGAGGGAAACGGAAACGAGAAATATTCCCTCATAGATTTACGGAACTAATCGCTCGATCTCGTTGATTTTTATCGATTGCAAAGAAAGAAAGAAAAAGAACCCGAAGAAATGCTCCTTGGATATGACTGTACAGCGTATTAACTTGTCCGGAGGTACATATATCGAGAATCCTTTTTCAAATCGAAGTATTAAGGATTGCATATTGTACATAAACAAGACATATTTTCTATATAAGGGACGTCGCTCGGTAAAGGCCGATGGCTCGAAAAATATTGCAATATTATGATAATTCTTTTAAGCGGTAGGATAGCCTTTAATCGTTTTATGTAATGTAATGATAGAAGAGGGTCTGGCAGAATAAAAGTGAAAGTTCTGTATTTAAAACATGTTCCCCGAGTTTTTTTCGTATTTATTCGTCTCTGCGTGTATAACGGTCCACCTCGAAGGTAAGAAACATGTTTCATGGAAGAACAAAAATCTGTGAACGTTCACGACACGAAAGAGAAAATAACAAAATGGTGTGTTAACGATACACAATCCGTTTTACATATGTACATATGTTTATAATTCTATGTTCCGTATACTCGGACAGAAAGTATTGAGATTATTTGTCGCCCGCACGATAAATCGAGTTAAATTGAATTCGCTGCATTGGAAATGACAGTCTCTTATTCTTTCCGTTGATTTTCAACTTCCTGAAATGAAAAGTGTCGATCACCATGCATAATCACGAATAGAAAGTAATGATAAACACGTGTTAACGGGTCTACTTACTCTTCGAATGATGTCTAATAATGATAAGCTGTCGTTCGATTGAAAAAATTCATTTATTTCTTGTGGAATACAAAAATGATTCGAGGGTTTGGGTTGAATACCAATCTCCTCGCCGATAAATCTAAATTCCGGCGTGTCGTTTATCTGATTTTGTAATTCCTCGTATGTAAAAAGTGTTCCTTTGGTAGAGGATTCATTCAGAGGACCAAAGTCAACTATCTTCACTTTTTCCTTCTTATAGCGAATTACATCAAACGAATCTGAAATGTAACGTATTGTACTTTAATAACTGAAAGAACATAATACAGAGAGAATATCTGTTCACTTACAATCGTTCAATGGAAATCTGTCTTTGATACGTTCCATGAACAAGCTTTTGATATCCGTTTGAATATTATATTTTTCCGATTCGTTGTAGCTGTGGTACTGTGATATATCTCGTTGACTAATTGCTATACAAAATCAAAATAATAATCAGAGCAAATAAGCAAATTAAGGAGCGATTATAAAACAATTACCTATAAGTTCATTTTCAATTACGAAGCATCGAAATTCTGTACATGGATTAATGTCTCTCCATTGCTTTAACACAATACATGATGCCAAAGGAGTGTCACTAGCCATGTAACTTTTTATGTTACCTAAATCCTTTGCAATTCTGTCTGAACTTTTGAGTAACAAATAAACTTCTTCTAATGTTTTACACTTAAGTGTTTTTGTTGGTGCAACCCAAGTTGCATCCTGAAAACATTTATATATTAAGCAAGCCAAAAAATATTTTATAAATGAAATCAAAATGATTTATGTGTACATAGGGTGAACTCCAATTGCTTTTAATAAAAACTGCTCCATATTCATCGATAACATTTTGAATCTTTTGACTAAATTCTGGAAATGTTGGCTGAAGTTCAGAAGAAAGCTGAAAGAAATGACATTTTTCATTTGCTTTATGCGGTACAATAATTAATCTGTATACATGTGTTCCTTTGTGTGTACCTCTTCGTGTATTACAGGAGAACCGTCTGCCCATTCTAGAGTTTCTATTGGTTCTTTTGTTGCCTCAACAGGTAACAAAAATGCATCATGCTCCAAATACTCAAGTACCTTATTAGGAATATGAAGAATAGTTGCCTTCAGAGAGTCTTTACGAAATTGTGGATACCAGGATGGAAACGAACATTCAGGTTTTAAGTCACTGATCATGTTACTATTTAAATCAGATCCTAACCTTTTTGAAACCCACAGGCAAATTTATAAGTTATCAAGCGTATTACCACAGACGAGATACATGAATAGACCTAACATGCAATGTAATTTTCTGTCCCATGTTTCGAGGGCGTCAAAAGCCCCCTTACCATTTTAGTGGCAATACCCGACGTTACCGATATAGCATGAATTCTGAGTATTATTAGCACAAATGAAGTGTTACATATTCCATTCATATTGCGTGTATCTATGTGATTTGACGGGAATAAAAACATCCGATGCTTCAGTTTACGGTTAAGGGATAAATATGATAGTCATGAAACATGAAACGGAAAAGTATATATTTTTCACTTAACTACGAGACAATTTATTCTAAATGCATCGTTAATGGACATTTTATTAATGTTACTTTTTACATGTTCTTGTTTTATTCGTTTTTATATCGTGCCTTACATTTGTATATTTGTAACAGATAAATTCAGAATAGATGTAGTTTCATAAATAGTTTATCAAATCTACCTTTTGGCCG